CCGGGAGCGCCGGCCGCCGGGGGCAGCCTCTCGGCCCACCAGCGCGCGGCCCGACCGGGCTGCACAGGCCCATCCTCCGCCATCCTCGGGGGCCCTGCCTGAGCCGAGCCGAGCCAGCTTCTCCCCGAGTCTGACAGCCATTAGTCCTCATTTAGTAGATGACCTCATAAACTGTGGCCTTCTTGTCACCAGAGCCCGTTACAATGTATTTGTCATCCGCCGAAATGTCACAACTCAAGACAGACGAGGATTCTTTAGACTGGAGGAGAAGCGGAGGGAGTGGACAGGAAGGGAGGTTCAACGTCACGGTCCTCACCACCACAGCTCGGCCCGTCTGCGATGCCCTGCCCGCCCTGCCCCAGGGACCTCTCGACTGAGCTCCCCGTGGCAGGCGCATGGTCGGGGACCTGTGTTCAGTCGGGGAGTCCTCCCACCCGCTCTGCTACAAGGAAGAGCTTGGTCTCTAAGTTACGAGGGTCAGGGAACCCCGGCACGTGCTTCTCTTCTGGGTTCACAGGGGAAGGCGCATTTCTGAGCTGGGAGAGGCGCAGGCCGGTCGGGCCTTGGCCTGATGAGGCAGGAAATCCCGTGTGGTTGGAGACTCCGAAGGGACGGGTATTGACAGACACAGGGCGTTCCAGCAGGGGCCCAGAGAGTTCGTAGGCTAGGAGAGTGCGTGAGCTGTGCGACTGTGTGCACACGCGTGAGAATGAGTACGTATGTGAGCAAGTGTGTGCACAGATGAGCAAGAGAAGAGAACAAGTGTGTGAGGACAACTGCACACGTGAACGCACAGGCGTGTGGGTGAGTGTGCGTGAGGGAACGAGTGTGCAGGCACGTGGGTGTTGAGTGTCAGGCCCCAGGTCTCTCCCATCCCGCTCCCTCCTGCCCACTGCCCTCCTGCAAAGCCGTAGACAGGGAGGATGAACTCTTCTGGGCAGGGCTTCGCCACTGGCAGCCCCAGCCCATACTCAGCGTCCAGGCCTAAGCAGGGCGTGTCTGCCTCCTCCCTGCAGGAGAGCTGCTGCTTAAAAGCCCTTGTCCTCGGTGTGTACCCTGGGGTCCCTAAGGCCTGTCTTCTGGGGTGGATCCCCATAGGTAGGGTGGGGCAGGGAAGGGGTGAGGGCAGGTCTGACCCCCGCTCAGGCCCCTCCAGCTCTGCTCCTGCTCCTCACCCAGATCAAGGAGATGGGATGGGGGTGGTACCTGGAAAATGCTGGCCCCGTAAGGTGTCCTCCAGGCATTGAGAAGGTTGTCCTTTCCCGTGCTCACAAACCACTTGCCTGCAGGTGGGAGACGCAGGCCCTGTCAGGGCAGGTCCGCTGTCTCTAGAGCGAGACCCACCCCAGGCATGGCTGGCTGCCATGGAAACGGGAGAGCTGCTAGCCAGAGCTTAGTGTCTCTCCACTGGCAAGAGGCATTTTGCAAGCGAGACACAGACCCCCAGAGAAGGCCTTCCTGCTTCTGCAACCCATGGGGGCGGTTGGAAGGGAAAAGGGAGGGTTTGCAGTTAGCTGCGGCCATTAACACTTCCCTAAAAGGACCTCGTCACAGCCACCGACGTTGGCTTGCCCCTTCTGCATTTTACTCCCAGATGACAGTGGGAAGAAGTGGAAAAGACAAAGCCCTGGGAGCCTGAGGCCAGTGAAGACGGCAGAGCAGGCGCTCCGCCCGGGCCTACACGGGTTAGCACACAGGCTCCTCCAAAGCCACGTGGCAGGCCCCACGCGCTTCCCTCCACTAAACACGATCCACCACAGCTCAGAGAAGGCAAGATGCATCCCGAGAGCTCAGTGCCCCGTGGCACTGCTGGGGGCGGGCGGGCAGCCTGGCTGAGGGCAGCAATGCTCTTGCACCCTGGCCTGTCTGCACGCTGAGCCCCGCGCCCACCCAGCCGACACTCACCGCAGTAGGCGAACTTGAGGGAGAGCACGCAGCTCTCGTGCAGGTGCAGCTGGTATTTGTCGGGCTTGGTGTGATGCAACACCTCCACGTTGCTGCTCTCCATGCCCACGGCCAGCCACTCCCCCGTGGGGCAGTAGCCCAGCGAGAAGATCTGCGGGCGGGATGGGGCCGGTGGTCAGCACCCGGCCCTCCAGGGCCGCCAGCGCCCCGGGGCCCTGCTCAGTTGCCCGAGGGCGGAGACCCTCCCTGGCCCACCCCCACCATTTGCCCACCAAGCTCCCCAACCCGCCCAATAATGGACTATGGGAGGTCATTTTCCTCCCCACTTTATACTCGAAGTCGAGGCTCAGAGGGGTTGCCGACCCCAGAGAGGAAGGGGCACCGCTCACGGGAGGCCCAGGCGTTTCTAAGCTACCCTCTCTGTCTCTGCCTTTCGTTTTCCCTCATGAAGAAAGTAGGAGGAACACTGCAAAGTCAGATGAAGGAATGGACAGCTGCAAAGAACCAGACTGGCGTTTGCCAGAGGCTTTCCGCAGGCCGGGCTCATGGCTGAGAGATTGAGGGCGCACCACAGGGGCTCATGAGGGACCTCGGGGGACCCTTGTGTTATTCCCATCCCATGGGCGAGGGAACTGAGGGCAAAGTGCCCACTGGTCGTGGAAGCAGGGATCGAACCCCTGCAGCTGGGTCAAGTGCATCTGGTTCCAGTGCCTGTCCACTCTATTTCACTGCCGCTTCCTCCAGGAAGCCTTGCCAGATGGCTCAGGCAGTCCCAAGCGACTTGGCAGTGAGGACCGTGTGTGGGGAGGGCGGCGAGCTGGCGAGGGCGGGGCCGCGCACCTGAGAGGTGAAGTCGTGCTGCTGCAGCTGCCGGCCCTCGCGCAGGTCCCAGGAGCGCACAGTGTTGTCCAGGCCCCCAGTCCACAGCTTGGTGCCGTCGTGGGAGATGTCTATGCAGCTGGCCCCGTCCGTGTGGCCCTGGAACTGCCTGTGGAAGCCACGCAGGGGAGGACGGTGACCCCAGGGACACCCCGGCTGCTGGATTACCAGTCAGCTCAGATCACAGGCTCAAGCAAGAAGGAAGACCATGGGCTAGCCAGTGGCGTGGTGGTTACGGCAACTGATTCCACAAGGCTGACTGTATGGTTCAAGTCCTACGCCCAGTGGTTCAAAACGATGCTGGGCGAGTGTTGTGTATATGCCTAAAATCCCGAGAGAACAGAGGAGTGTCTGCAGTGTGATCATGCCCCCAGGGGGTGCTTTCTTCACTTGGGGGGGAGGAGGGGAGGGGAGTCTGGGGCCCAGCACGGTAAACACTCAGGGAGCCTCAGGTGGAGCCCTCAGGTGGAGCCGACCTGACTTCTCTCCCACTGCCCTCGGGGGTCTTGCCCCAAGGGAGGTCCTCAGAAATGCAGGAACAAAGGGACTCCAAGCCAGAATCCCCAGGCAGGGTCCTCCCCCCAGGGGCCCTTCTGCGGCCCACGCCTGCTCTCCGGGAGGCTAGGAAAGTGGAGTAAGGCAGGCAGGCCCTGGTGACTTCTCTGAGATGATCACAAAACAGAAAGCGGCCCTTGGCCCACGCTCCCCGGGGCCTCTCAGTAACCCCCTCGCCTGCGAACTACTAACTCTGCAGCTGCGGCCCGAAGCAGGTGGAATGGCCACACGCACGGGAGCAGAGGCCGAGTTCTGGCTCTGCGGTGCGGCTCGGGGATGACGCTGCCCTGTCCCGTTTTACGCAAGGAGAAGCTGACACGCGAGGGCACTTAAATGACTTGCACAGGTCCTTGGCAGTGTCAGGGCTCACGCCCAGTCGTTTGCTCCCCAAGGCCCCATGTCCAACTATAGCACTCTGCTCCTCCCCTCGGGTCCAGTCCCCAGGCCTCACATCCCACCCTGCTGCCCCAACTACTCTTCATTTCCCCTCCCGGACCTGCCCAGCTCCAGACCCGGACTCCCTCCCTGCCACCCACCGGCAGGCCAAGCTGTCCTGCATCCGAGCATCCCTCATCTGAACCGAGGCCCCTGCCCAGCACCTTGGCCAGGGCCCAGGTGGCAGTCCCCCTTACCTGACCAGCGTCTGGTTGTGCAGGTCCCACACGGCGATGTTACCGTCACTACAGCAGGAGAAGCAGACCTTGGCGTCGGGGCTGATGGCCAGGGCGTAGCAGGCGGGGGCTGAGGACGTCAGCTCGGCCTTGATGCGTGGCGTGGGCGAGGCCAGGTCCCAGATGGTGAGTGTGCTGGCCTCGCCGCCCACGATGAGTGTGCGTCCGTCGGGCAGCAGCTTGCAGGAGCGGATGTAGTTGTCCCTGTTCTGCAGGGAGAAGGGGCGAGTAGAGCGCTGTTCGGCCCCATCCTGGGGACCAGGAGAGGCACTCTGGTGACACTGGGTGCCCTCACTCCCCGCTTCTCATACACAGCAGCTGTCCAGCTGCCCTGCCCCTCAAGGGTACAAGCTCCACACGTTCAGGGCTTAGAAAGGCTAGACAGCTAGCCCAAAGCTGCTCGGCCGGGCCAGGGCCGGGCCCGCAGGGCCCCTGAACCCCCAGCTCGGGAGGGACGCCTATGGCCTGGGAGTCTCACCAGGCAGTCCAGCTGGGAGATGGGGCTCTTGCTGCCTGGCTGGCTGATGTCCCAGATCTTCACACAGCCCTTGCCACCAGTGTAGACGTGCCGCGTGGGGTTGCTGATGGTCACGGCACACACCACCTCCCCGTGGCTCAGCGTGTTGATCTGCCGGGCATGCCTCGGGATGCCGGGGCCGGCCAGGGCATCATGGGGAAAGGGCACGGGCTGCATCTGCCCATCAGCACTCACGTGGAAAGAGTACGCCCTGCAAAGGCAAGGACCGACCACTGCCGCCGTGCCCGCCGCTCACACAGCCCGCCATCCTGCCCAGAGCAGCCTGCACAGCCAGCCCCTCCTGAAGCCCGCTGGACCCAGGGACCTGGGCCGCGGGGGTTGGGCAGCTCCACTAGCGACGCTCCAGCCTGGACCTCTGCGCCCCCTCACAACCCCCTCCAGACCCAGCCACGAGCCTAGCTGTGGCCAGGAAGGCCCTGTCCTCCTCGCAAGCCAGCCCTGGACAAGCCCCAGCTTAAAGGTCACCTCGTGCTTTAGAAGCCCGTGGTACTAGGAGCGGAGGCTGCTTGGCCCCCCGCCCAGCCAGCGGGACGGCCTAGCTGCTGCACACAACTCTGGGCGTCCTCTCGGCACCCGGACGCCTGCTGCCACCCTGGGCCCGCGTCTCCGCACCGCGCCTGCACTCAACTCCGTCACCTCCCAACGAGGAAAGGCGATGCAAGGCGGGGCACACGGAAGGCAGAGGGGCCGGTGACCCGCAGCGTGGGGACCTTCCCAGCAGAGCGCCCATGGAGTCCCCGAGGCCCGTGGTAGGGCGTGTGGTCCGGTTAGGGGCTGCTACCCTCCCAGGGCCCAGTGGCCTGGTGCTTGGCACTCCCCACTCCTTTCCAAGGGAGCCCCTGGGCCCTTCAGGAGCGCGGCTGGAGGCAGTTCCCAAGGGAGGAGCTGACAGGGCCAGAGGACAAGGTGGGGGGTGGCTATGCTCTCCCGGCCCGCCCCAAGAACGAGGCTGGTTAAGGCTTACGGTTTTCCTCCGGGAATGGACGCGAGGCTGGAGGGCAGGCCTGTGGCCCTCATGGGGGGGTGAGGGTCAAAACCAACCTGGGAGGAGAGACAAGGCAGACCCGAGTCGGCGAGGCGCCCCCAAACTCCAGCCCCCACCCCGCGCTCCGCTGTACAGCTGTCTCGCTGGGACAGCGGCAGGGGGGTCCCCAGCCCAGACCCCGCTGAACCAGCATCGGGCCTGCTCCACAAGGCAGAGCCGTCCTGGCCCTCGCTCCTCCCTGGTGTCCCAGAGCCCATAGGGACCGCACAGGCATCTCTCGGGCTGTCCCAGCACAGGTGCCCTCGCCACCGCCCAGACCCTGACTGTCCGCCCAGCCCCACGCCATGGAGACGTCCTCGCCGTGGGCTCCCCATCCCTGTCAGCCCCATCCACACACGGAAGTGGTGGCTCAGGGAGGCTGCCCGAGGTCACGTGTGGTTCTCGGGACATGGGCCCCAGGGTACATGCCCTGCAGCTAGGCCGTTCCCCCCCAGGCCGGCTGCCCGTCAAGGGACACTGAGGTCCCCAATAGTGCACAGGGCCCGCATGCCGCCCTCCAGCTCCCTCCACACCCAGCCCCCCGAAAAGGAGCCAAAAGGTCTACGTACAGCTCCAAAGCTCACCATTGGTGACCGGCCATAGGCGGCGGCGGCGGCGGCCGCGGCACTCATCTGGGGCGGGATGTTGTGGAGGCCGGCGTAGGCCCCAGGGCTGGTGAGGGAGCCATTCATCTCATGGTGGCTCATCATGGCGAAGGGCGCCGCATAGGAGCCGGTGATGGAGATGGGTGTGCGCAGGGCCGAGGCTGTGGGAGGCGGGCGTCAGCCAGAGCGGGCATCTCAGGGGGCCCAGCCTGCCAGGGCAGACCCCACAGCAGCCAGCCTCCCTGTGTCCAAAAGCTGCCTGCTCCAGGCAGCCCTCCTAGATCACACCCACCCAACGGAGATCCCGTGGAGAGAGTTCTTACACCAGTGACAGCAGGACAGCTGGTGTGCCAGGCCCTGTCTGACGCCCCTTCCCCGTGCCTGGCCCAGCAGAGGTCCCCGCAGGCCCTGACAGCAGTGCTGAGGCCCCAGGGCCCTGTCAGTCTCCAGTTGACCCTGCAGCCCAAGGGCATAGGGGAACCCCAGGTGGACTCTGCTCTCACCCCCAACCATGCGGCTCCAGCCCTGGCCCGGGGCGGCCCCCTCGTGCCTACCCATTATACCTATCGGGTCCATGCCTGGAGGTTTGCCCGCCATTGAGCGGAGCCCTGGGGTCGTGCTGGTGCCGGGGGTCGGGGCGTCGTTCCGCGGAGTCGGGGTGTTGGACTTGAGCCCAGGGGTGCACGGCTTGTCGTTCTGGGTGGGGCAAAGACCGGGGGCCATGAGGGGCCTTACCCCAGCAGCCGGCCCCAACAGTGCCTCGACTGTGCCTACCAGCCACCAAGGTCCAGAGCCTTCCACCTCGCTCCTGCGGCTCGGGATCTGAACCCGGCCCGGTCCTCACACCACGTTCCTCCTACCCTGCCCGCCCTCTCCTCGGGACGCCGGCAGCTCGGGCCTGCACCCGCCACAACCACTCCGCCTGCCCGCCCCTGGAAGGCCACGGCACATACATGACCAAGGTCTTTGGTCTTAGAGGAGGGCGTACTGCTGGAGGAGGCCACTGAGGCGGGGCTGGTGGGGGCGTCCTTCTTCAGGCCACGGCTCTTGTCCAGCCCGTTTTCAGGAGGGGAGTGTGCCGGGCTGACCCGGGGCGTAGCTGGGTCCTGCAAACACAAGTGACCAGAGATGCACTGACGGAAACTAAGCACAGGGCGTCCCCGGCTCTGGGACCAAGGAGGTGGCACAGACACTGCCCGAGAATGGGAGCCCCGCGGGGGTGAGAGCTCGCCTGGGTGGGGACCGAGGCCTGGTGGACAGAGGGGCCCCTGCCCAGCATCGGTCGTGTGCAGGACGGCGACCTACACTGCTGGACCCAGCCCTGGGGTGGGGGCTGAGACTCTCGGTCCCCTCCGGCCCACTAGGGCTGACCCCTGGGGCCTCGCGTCCCTTGGCTGGGGACTGGGAAGTGGTGGCAGGGGGAACACTGGGGGGAGGAGCCAGCCTCCGTCCTGGGTCTGTGGGGGTCCCAAATAGGAAGCCCTCGAGGCCAGAGGCCCTGCCTGCTCCCCTGGGGCAGCCGCGAGCTGAGCCCTGTCACCTCATTGGCCACGCCAGGCAGGAGCAACCCCCAACTGAGGGCCTCACCTCATTGGACACGTCCACCACCAGATCGTCACTCTTGTCCCCATCACTGTCCTGCAGCCAAGAGAGACATACTGGTCAGAGATCGCTCTCCCACCCAGACCAAGCCTGCGCCAGCCGGGACTTGAACCTGGGCCGAACCCCAAGCCACAGAGCAGCTAGGTGGCCCAGGGGCTCGGGGTAAGGCCACTGCATCCCAGCAGCAGGTGCAGTCACCCCACCCCAGCGTTCGCCCCTGCAGGCTGGCACAGGCCAGGCCATCACACCGCAAAGCTGGGAAGAGCCATGACGAGCAGCTGGGTGGTACGTGCAGGACTGCAGCCCTGGGCAGGCTGGCCAGTCTGCAGGAGGAGCCCCAACCCGCGAGGGCTGCCCCACCTCTGCCCCCTCCCGCCCCA